TTTGTTTTAGGCAAGTGGAGTGATTTGGAAAGTTGTGTTGTATGATATATAAAGATGGGAGTTGAGAGTTTTTGTAGAGATTGGAGTTGGAAATTTTAAAGATACATGATGGGGTGGGTGAAGGTGATAGATGACTAGTGTAATATCCCATATCTTCTTGTTTTATGGATTATGCAAAGGGTAGTTGGCATATCATGAAAGCTAGTAGGGCTATTAAATTGGACTTTTTGCTCTTAATTTTTTTTCTTCCATCTATTTAAAATGTCTCTTGTGCTTGACTGATTTTAGTTACCTACAACCATAGTTTAGGCTTTTAGCATTCAACTCCATCATGCTAGTTAGAAAAACTAGGAAATGAGTACTTGCACTTGTTTCATGTATATCAAGATTTCAAAGTTTAAGAACTTTAAACTCAATAATTGTGATAAATATTCAATAGAGTTGCGGTAAGAGTTTCGATAAAAGTTATGTCATGTGCGATGATTTTGAGTACAAAGTTATATTTTAGATGGAAAATTTTATTGTAGAGCTTGATTTTTTGTTATTGTGTTACAATAAGGCCTGAATTTTTAACTTTTTCATTTGAAGGTTTCAATTTTATGTTATTCTCTATATAAGACCTACTTTTACATTATACTTTTCAATTTAAGATCTCAAATCACTTTGTATTTTGATATAATTATGTAAACAACAATACTTTTTTTTTAAATTTATTTTTTAAGTACTTATATGAAAAATATTAAATATCTTTAGTAAAATTATCTAATAAGATAATTATTTCATAATTTACATTTATGCAAAAACTTAATAAATTTTATTTTTAAAAAGTTAAAAAATAAATATTAAATTAATTTTTAACCTAAATATGTGATAACATTAAAATAGGAAATATTTAGAAAAATAGTTTTATTTTTTGTAAATAAACTTATAGAAAATATTATTTGTGAATAAAACTACCTACAATTTTATATAATCTTAACTTTTTCAAAAATATAAATTTTATTCACAAAAAATATTTTCTAAAAGTTTATTTAAAAAAATAAATTATTTTTCTAAATAGTTTATATGTTAATGTTATCACATATATAGATTAAAATTAAATTAATTTATTTTAACTTTTAAAATAAATTTTATTAAGATTTTGCACAAATGTAAATTATGAAATAATAATCTTATTAGATATTTTTATTAGATATTTAATGTTTTTCATTACAAGTACTTAAAAAATAAACTTTTAAAAAAAGGTATTGTTGTTTACATAATTATATCAAAATACAAATTGATTTGAAGTCTTAAATTGAAAAGTAGAACGTAAAAGTAGGCCTTATATTAAGAATAACTTAAAATTGAAATCTTCAAATGAGAAAATTAAAAATTCAGGCATTATTGTGACACAATAACAAAAAGTCAAACCCTATAGTAGAATTTCCCCTTATTTTAGAAGCTAAAAGTTGCACGAACTAGACCTCATAGGACAAGAAAAATTGTATAAATTATCAATGTTTATAATACGAGGTCAAGAGTTTACAAGACCAAGATAGCTGCAAGAATTGCTTTTTAGAATCTCAAATGGAGTGTGAGCATGTGGAGAATTAATACATGTAACTAGAGCTGGAAACATGCAGAGCAAGCTAGAGCTATTAATACTCGAGCTCAAGTTTCGAGCTCTTATCGAACCAAACTAAGTTAACAAGCTGATAAACAAGTTTGAGTTCGACTTAATAACCCAGCCTATATCTATAATATTGAAAGAGATAGTTAGAAAATATCAAAATAATAACTTTGACTTTTTTTTTAAATGTGTTGACTTCCCAAATAAAGAAATATATTAAAAATCACTTCAATAATTTTTAAAAAGAAATTATTTAAAGAGCTGCGATTAGTGTGTTATTTGTGGATTTTTCTTTTTATTTTGCAACAATTTGCATTAATCACTTTATTTATGCATTTAATTGCTGGAATTCAAACGCTGATTAAAAAACAAAAAAGAAACAGAATAATAATATATGTCTCTGTAAAGTACTCTAATTTTCTATGAATCAAATTCATCTGACAAAAATATTTGTCAATAAAACTCACACGAATATAAATTAACAGGGAAATGCTCACGTGCCCACGGTGGGCACATGTTAATATGTCCACCGCTTATGTGGCATGCACACATTGGTGATGTATTTTTTTTAAAGAAAAAGGCTATAACAAGTCGAATTATTGTAAAAATTCAGTAAATAAAGCAAAAATTCTTATTTAGAGTTTGACTCGTTAACTAAACGAGCATTCTCGAGTCTTAATGAGTCGACAGGAGCCGAACTCACAAGAGACTCGTTTTATTTAACAATTATACCTATGACCTTTCCATATAAACGGTCTTTTTAACTTGGATCAACCACATATATAAATGTGTGTGTATGTGTGATACAACAATTAAAAGTCTGTGTAGGCGGTGAGCAGTTACAAACCCCTCCATTATTAGTAGGAACAAAAAAGTTTATACTTGATTTTTTTCAAATAGAAGCTATTAATTTAATTTTTATTTTTTTTTCAAAAATGCACTTTTATTTTTATTTGCAGTGATACTCGTCACCCAAAAGACTCATTCGATATATATTATAATATTTTTTTAGCTCATATTATATGTAAGAATATTGATTTGACATCATCCGAAAAACCTAAGTATTTTCTAGAAGATTTTCTTGTTAGGCAATCAAAATAAATTAAAGGTAAGTTTTCTATTTATTTACTTGTTAATTAATTAAGTTCCTATTATTTATTATTAATAATATATGTTATATATTTATTATAATGTGTATTATGGAGTCTTAAACCTTTAGGAGAAGGTTACATGATATATATCTTATATATTTACTTACCATATATGCCACATGCATTAATGAGCTTGATTCTATGCCATAATTAGTTTTCTCTTTCTTGTAGGACAAGGAATATGTGTCAAGGACTATGAAGGGATGAGCAATTCGTGCATAAGGAGCTTTGGACGTTCATGAGAAGATCTAAAGAGGATTTGGAAAGATTCATCACAAGATCTTTGAAGATTTGGATGATCGGCTATTTTAGGAAAGTCTTGTTCTTACACGAGTTGAGGAGAGATCAAGAGAATATTTACTTTCCATGTTTCCGCATCATACAAGGAAAGAAGATCTTGAGAGAGAAGGAAGAGTCCTACACTTATCATGTTACTTTGGATAAAATTGGAAGGAAATAAAAAAGAAGTCTTATACTTGGAGAAGACTCCACACCTAAGGAGCTGTATATATACCCTACTTGAAGATCGAATTTAGGCTGCTGAGATCATTATCTTCCATTCAATATTCGAGCTTCAAGCCTTTTAGGTTTTATTTTCATTGTTCAGTTTTCAGTGTTCTTATGACATTGAAGAACTGAAGCCTTTTGTTTTGATTATTTTATTTTTCATTCATTTGTGATCAGTACTTAGGGATTAAGTGCTATTTTTAGCTCGAGGGATTCGAGAGTTAAAGTCCACAGGACGTGGCCGGAGAAGTTGTTGGTTAGACTAGAAGGGAGTTCTATGTGCTGTAATTCCAAAACTATACGCATGTGCACAATCGAGTTATTAATGAAAGAGTTCTGAGGGGAAGTGGGACGCTTCCCTGAAGATTTTTTTAAATTTTCGGTTTATTTCTTCCGTTATTCTAATTGTTTATTTGTGTTCTAACAACGTTGAGTGCACTTATCGTAAAATACCTACGTTTCAATTGGCACCAGAGCAGTGTTCATGTTCCACTTACAGGATAAAGATCTTTGGGTCCTTGGGTTGGTCACCATGATTCAAGACGGCATGTCCGTTTCGCGCCCTCCGTACCTCGACGGTTCTAACTATGGATACTGGAAATCCATGATGGTGATATTCATTCGCTCTTTGGGTAAAGGAACCTGGCAAGTCCTTGAGTCAGGCTGGACCACACCACTCATGCCGAAAGCTCCCTCGGAATCAAAGTCATCAACCTCTGCTGCTCATGTTCTAGTCGAGAAACTAAGGGATCTTTGGACTGATGTTGAAAGACAAGCAGAAGAAGCAAACTTTCGTGCATTATATGCTATCATGTCTGTTGTGGATCCAACTCACCATAAGATGATTATTCAGTGCACCACAGCTCGCGACGCATGAAAGATTCTTGAGAGGCAGTTTGAAGGTAAATCCTCGAAGCTTCAGAGGATCACGACTGAACTTGATGAGATCCGGATGAGAGATGATGAAACCATAGACATGTACTATGCTCGCTTCTGTGACCTTATAAACTAAAGTGCAATGCTTGGTGAAGAGATATCAGAGGCGAGACAAGTGCAGAAGTTGATGAGAACCTTACCGGATAGGTTTGGAATTAAGATCACCGCTTTGGAGAGTTTCCAGAGAGTTCAACCACTTGGGATTGATGATCTTCTTAGCGACCTACGTACTTTTGAAATAAACCATGGATTTGACTCGATGAAGGGAGCCAAAGGAAAGGGCTTAGCTCTAAAAGCCAAGGTTCGTACAACAGTAATACAAAAGGATGATTCGGATGAAGAATCCTTTGATGTTGATGAGATTATGGAGGCTCTTACTGTTCTTACCAAAAATGTCTCAAAGCTGAAGAAGTTTCAGAAGAAAAGGTTTCAAGGGATCAAGCCCTCTGAAGGTGGTAAGAATATGATTCAGCAATTTGGTGAGCAGCGTTCCAGTGTGCAACTGAACAAGTTTCAGAATGCTAATCAAGGAGTGGAAAAAGATCATTGTCGGGAATGCAAAGGGTTCGGTCACTTTCAGAAGGAATGCCCAAACTTCAAGAGGATGAACAAGACTTACAAGGCAACGTGGTCCGACTGCACTGATGATGAGGATGAAGAATCTAAGAAAACTGAAAACTTTTACTATATCAATAATCATGCTAAATGTCTTCTTAATTAGTATAAATGTTTTACATCCTCTGT